AGGGCGGGGGTCACAGGTAAGCGCTCTGCGGGCGCCTCCTGACGCGGGGGACCCAGGAGCCCGAGTCCCCGGCTTTCGTCGTTCTCAAAGGCCTGCGAGGGCGCCTCTTCCCAGTTGGGGACACTAAGAACCCCGAGTCCGAGAGCCCCCGGCTTAGCTCTGCAGCCTCAGCGCACAGCCAGGATTTCGAATACCGCGCCCCCACCCCCCGCTCCTGAGCCCTCATCCTAGGCGGCTGGGGGCCAGCCCGCGGCTGCCCAGTGCCGCCCGGGGGGCTTCCCGGAGGAGGCGGCCGGAGCCGCCCGCCCAGCGCCACAGCGCGGCTCTCGCCGAACCTCACGGCCGCACCTGGGAAATGGGCGTGTTGGCGTTCGCCCGGCAAGATGCTGAGAGGCGAACACTCGGCGTTGGGGTGAGGTGCACGACACAGGGGAAACCCGCGGGCGCTGCAGGAAGAGTAATCTCAGGCAGAGGGACTGTAAGAATGGCCGAGTTCTCAGAGCTGGGGGAAGCGAAGCCGAGTCGGGGGGCTGCCCGGCCCCCCCAAAAAAGATGCGCCCCGCCTGGAGCGGGGAGGCGGTGCTGGTCCCAAATAAAGAGAGGGTACTGAGCTCGGCGGCGCCCCAGCCCACGGGCCAGCAGGGCCCCGCCCAGCGCCTGGACCCCGCCCGCCCTCGGAGGCAAGAATGTGGAGCCGAGCGGAGGGGGTCGGCAGGCGGCCCAGTTTCCATGATGCGGGGGGCGGGCTCTGGGAGGAGGGTGGTGCGGGCGGGTTGCCAGCTTCCGCGCGGGGGCCCCTCACTCCCGCAGCCCCGCGGGGCCCCTCGGGAGGAATTTCCGGCCTGGGATTGATTATCGGGCGCCCCTCCCCCGGCCGCGGAGACCCCCCGGCTCGCGAGGGCGGGGGAGCCGCGGTAATGAGACCCGGCTGTGCGCGGGCGGGGAGGGGCCGCTCGGGGAAGTGGCCGGCCGGGGCGCCCCCTCGCCACGCGTGCGGAGCCGGGACCCCGAGCCCCACAACCGCTAGGCCTCGCCCCACGCTCCAGCCCCCTGGCGACTAGGGATGGCATCAGCGCCTCTGGCGACCCCTCTGCCAGGCCCTGGGGCCCAGCACCCTCGGCAGCCCCCGGGGCCGCCCCTTCCCCTGTGGGGCGCCCGTCGGGGTCCCGGCGGCCCAGAGGAGCCCTGCAGGCCCGAGAGCAGAGCGCACGGCGCCTCCGGCCACCGCGTGGGACAGAGGCTCCTGCCACCTGAGCTCAGAAAACCCGCCCGGCGCCTGGCTGCCGACTCCGCCCACCGAGGCGGCAGTGCCCGCGTTTTCCTCCGCTGGTCACCCCCCAGTGCCCTGCACTTCACACACTGCTGGCACGCTGACCCCGCCATGCCCCCTCTGCCCCAAGCACGGTCTCCCTCATTTGTCTCCAGCTTCCGAACTGACACCAGCTCTGGAGGCCAAAGCCCTGACCGGCTCGGCTGGGGCTTGTCCACTGGGCTCCCTGCCGCTGACTCCTCTGGCCTCCTCCCTCCCCCTCACCCCTCTGCCTGGCCCAGTGTGGGCTTCCCCCTAGCCGCCCTCTGGGAAGCAGGCCCACTAAGGCCAGCTACCCCTGGGGCCACCCTACAGCACCTAACCAGAGAAGCTCTGTGGCCCTGTGTTGATCTGGAGTCAGCCCTGCTCCCTGTGCAGAGGCTGCAAGCTGCATCTCTACCCTGAGTCTGAACTCATCACTTGCTGGGGTTAGGGGTTACCCCTGCAAGGCTCCCAGTCTTGTCCAAAGGGAATTGAAAACCCCTTTTCATCATAAAATGACCCAGCGCTAAGCCTCTTCATGGGCATGGCTCACGGTGAACAGCTGTCAGGGCTCTGGAGTTGAGTGGGCTTCCCATCTGCACCCCTACTGGCTGAAGCTGAGGGGGGACACAGTCTCTCTTGCTCACCCTGGAGCCCCATGCCCCCCACGATGCTGGAGAGCAGCCCGCCCTGGGATGGCCAGTCTGCTCCACCCTGAGGCCCTTCCTAGTCTCTGGAGTCCAGCCCAGACCGCAGGAGTAAAAGGCTTTAGCTCTCTGAGTCTCAGGGTCCCCCCACGCCCCCCGCAGCGCTGCTCTGAAGATTAAATAAGAGCAGGCTGGGCATCGGGCAGCGTGGTGCCGGCCAGTGGTGGCAGCATCCTGTCACTGCAGGCCTCAGCCCCTATGGCACAGCTTGAGGGCTGTGGAAACCTCCCCTAACTGAGGTCATTGGGGTGGCGGGGGAGAGGTGGGTCACCCTTTAATTTGCTTGAGGTCAAGTCAATGTCCTACCTGATTTGCAGCAGAGGATACTGACTTGTTTCTGTAGAGAGACCTTCCCCACAGACTCACAGCCACTCCGTGCAGAGGGACACCCTGGCCTGCGTGGCCTGGCCCTGCGGATGTGCTGAGCGAGAGTGGCCTGGGCCTCAGGGCTGGGTGCCAGCT